ACATAAAAACTGATTTTATCTAAGATTATACTAAGAGGAAACACTTCATATGAAATGTCTTCATTTGAGCATTAATAATTTTACTGTAAACCATTTAGGCAGCGTTTGCTTCCTTGGAAAAACTAAATATTCTGTGGGAGAATTTCACTATGTACTTTTTCCAGTGTCCAGTTCATTCCTAATCAAAGCAGTAGAGAAAATGGTCTATTTTTTTCTTCAGTGTTTGGACGACTTAAAGTGGACCAGCAGTCTTTGAAATGATAGTTTTCTTTGTAGACTTAGTGTCTGTCATTCACTAATGACGGCTAATAATTTAATTTAAAAAATGGACTTTAAAGGCCCTGCCTAATAAGCACTTTATTTACCACACAATGGAAACTATTAAATTGCAAGGTGCTAGGAATAGTGGGACAGTATATATTTCAGCTACAGGACTACAGCTTTTAAAATATTTTTACTCTTCCCTTTCTGAGAGAAGTGAAATATTGCTCTTGATGCTAGTATTTGATGATGAGCTCTCCCATCTGAGGCTTAGCCTAGGTATTTGCAGATAAAAGAGCCCTTCATAAATTGCAAAGAACGACACAAACGTAAGGTGTCATTATCATTTATTTTATTGTAAAAAGAAGTTGAGTCCCCAGAACTCCCATTTTTTTCCTTAAATATTGAAAAAGGATCACAAGAAAAAAGATGCTTCCAATAGGGATGCTGGTCAGTGGTTGTCAGTTTAGGACATTCTTCACTGTCCAATCCTGTTTCTCACTTCTTTGATATGAACATCAGCTGACAGGTACTGAATGCAAAGCCTTCTTCATTGAGGGTTTATGCAGGCAGCATAGCCCTTCAGAGCAAAGTAGTCTGAAAAATTGGCACCTGCAGGATTTGCATGTGAAAAAAAAAATGAGTCAGTTGTGTTTTGCTGGAATCTATTACTGTAAGTTATGTAAGTTCAGTGAGAAAGGCTATTTATTTGTTGCTGTTTGAGCATTTAAAAGTTCTTTGTTTTATGGACACTTTATCATATAGTGATCCACAGGCTTTATTGATGGTAGAAGCAGGGAGAAATGAGCTCTGGCTTTATAGAAGTTATTTATTTTGGAATGGAGTTGTTTTTAACCATGTGCTTGCAGCTTGCACTTGCATTTATAGTCAATTTTTAAAATGTGCCTTAAAATTATGATTTTTATGGCACCTTGAACTCAGTCACCTTTCAGAAGAATCTATCAGAAGTTAAACAAATGCATAAAATAATCTAGGACTTTAAAAGTTACATAAATAACTAATTTTATAAGATACAAAAATTAAACTCTTCATATTTGAAGAAAATGTTAGTTTTCCCCCAGATCTTTCTTATTAAATTACATTTATCACCTAAATGCCTTTAAAATATAATATCTAACTTTATTAATGCAAAACTTCTAACAAATGCTCAATCAACTAACACACCTTTGTGAACCTCAGAAAATTATCCGCCAATGGAACATTTTCTCCAGAGTAAGTTAGTATTAGTTAAAGAGACACCTTTCAACTTCGCTTTTTTACATCCATTAATATAAGAGTTCCTAAATAATGTTTAAAGAACAGTGAACATTTTATTAAAGCAAACATTAGTGCAGTTTAATGGAGGTAATTGTAAGTGATAAGACAGAGCAGGTTATCTCTGTGTTGTTTAAACAGAAGGAGCTACTTTGCAGCATTTCCAGTAGCCATCTGTAGAAGAGAAGGGTTTGCACCTGTCTGTCCACACTAATTATAGATTAGGGCCAAAGAAATGAAATTTGAGGAGGTTTTCAGCTAATGAAATCCATACTGATTTTATTGTAAATGTGTTTTATGTAAAGAGGATGAGGGTTGAGTTATGAGTGAATAAATCGCTATGTAGCTGCCAGGCACTTGATTTTGAAACAGAATTCTGCTGTTTTAACCTTTGATATTCAAAAAACAAAAACAAAAACACAACAACAACTGAGATACGAATGCTAGCCTTTGTTTGTCATCCATAGCTACAGTTTAGCGAGCAGCAGTGAGGTTCAGTGTGCAGTTTTAAAATGTGCTTGAAAGCAGCTGAAACGTTAATAATATTCTGATGTTCTGAAATGCAGATGAAGTGGAAGGGGGTAGATTCTGTTTTAACTTATGCATATAAAACATTAGAAAATTAGAAAGCCTTTTTCTTTTTTTCTGCATTTCAGTTGCACATACATGAGAAATTAAAACGAAACAAGTGAGGAATGCATTCTGCAATAAAAGGTCACATGAATGTCTACCACATCTGTTTATAGTAATTATGAACATAATTAACATAAGAATTACAAATGAAATAATGACAAGCTGAGCAATGAGATATTATGCCATAATGGTCATATGTTGGAATTCTCACATTATAGCACACTACAATTCACATACTCAAAGAAAGAAAATGCTAGATTTTTATCTGAATTAATGCTTCAAAACTTATCTGCCTGGGGCAGATGGACTTCTTGCTTTTATAGGAAGGTAACCTATTATTAAGAAAAGAACTAGTTGAAATTAAGATTTCTAGTCTCCAGCCTGGACTTTGAGACAGCTGTGATTATAAAAATCACTTTCTGTTGTACATTTATTCTGTGAACATACTTCTTGATTATTGTATTGCTTTATTTTTTATTTTAATGGAAAGCTTTGCAGCAAAGTGTTTGCTTTGGAAGAGAGTCATGAATTCTTCCCATTGGAGAATTGGTTGATCTTTCCTATAACTGTAAGCCAAAAGTCAATGAACAAACAAAGTAGTAATAGAAATGCTGTGCCTTTACAAAATAAGAACATTGGCAGATTAGCTTTTGCACCATTTTCTTCATGCCTTCGGTATTTGGAATGCCTTTTAAAGAAAAATGTAAGCTTTTTCTGGGTTTGAAAGCAGCACTAGTGCATTGTTTTTGTAATATTTCTTAGAAGAGCATGTAATGGAAAAAATCAGTGGACATTTGTAAGTTGTATTATTTCTTCCTAGAGTTGTGTTGGATTTATAGATGTTTGTATATAGCCTGTGTTCAAACTGATCTAACTAAAATGTGACTTGTGGGGGTGGCAATAAAGGGAAAGGTATGTATAGTTACTTCTGGTTACTCTGAATGTGGTTTTTTTGTAACAGCAAGAGAAAAGGTGACCTTTGATGTGAGCTAAAATGATACTCCAGAAATCGGTTATTAAATTTAAAACATGTAAGAATGACAGATTTTCACCCGTTTATACCTTACTCGGTTTTGTAACAGTCAGCCAAGGGGCTTACTTCTACCCTTTTAGGCTTTCTAATGATTGAACCTGGTCACTTTTTGAAGATTTATGGAGAAATACCACCTTGTTCTCATCTCGGTGATACCAAGAGGTTTTTTCACATTATTGGACCACTGGAGGACTATGGCAGACCCCTTTTTATCTGACATTCATTGTATGACAGGATTTTCACACATGCCCTTCCCCCACCATGCCCAGCTTTTTTCATTTGGCATTACCTATCAACTTTCCCTTAATTCTTTTCTTTCGGTGGGAGCGTGAGGTTGGGGGGTGGTCCACTACGCATAAAACCATTTTTTTTTTTTTTTTGGCAAGATGATTTGAAGGGGAGTGCTTGATTAAACAAAGCCTCTCCTGATTAACTAAAGGGCTTCTTAAAAGGCGGCTGCTAGTTCTCTTGCTTTTCTGTTTTTCTCAGCTTATTAGAATTACCCTCCTCCCCTCCAACCATTTTGTCCCTTTATATTAACACCCCATACATAAACTATTTTATAACCCCAAGTTTCACAGCAGCTGGGTCTCCAGTGTGTGCCATGAAAAATTATGTGGTTTATTGGCTACTCCGTTCTGAACTCACTGTTCACCCTGCAGCAAGAGCTTCTTAACCAAGCTTTAGTGCCCGAAAACACAATACAACCGAATATTTCCCCTCCCCCATTAAAATACCCTCCTTTGCTACATTATCTGCACTCCATTAAGGATCTGATCTGATGTCTGCATTGTCTGATGGGTGCATTTAAAAGTGAAAAGGGGACCCCAAGGGACTACTCAGGTGTATCTCCCTCCTGCCTCTGGTGGGAAGGGTGGACTCTGGTATGATGGACGGATGAGCAGTCACCTCTGCTTGTTCTCTGATTGATTCTCAGGCTCTGGGTGGGTGAAGAGCTGTGAGGCAGCTCAAGCTCAGATTGACTGCCTCAATTTCAAACTCCCACCTCCAAAAGACTCTCAGATGTCTGCACAAGGAGCCCCCTCCCCCACACAATTTCTGGAGGTGGAGCAGGTGTCTAAGAGTCACCTGTAGCTACCAATCATAAGCAGTCCTTCTTTTCACAGTGATGCTGGCTGCCCATGTCTTCTGCTGGGACACGCTAAAGCCCAGGTAAAGGAAGCATTTGTTACCTGTCTCGGTCTGTTTCCACATGTGTGTGTGGGGTGTGGTTTAGGAGTATTGGGGTCAGCATAGAAAGGGACTAGAACTCCTATTAGAGGTCTGTCTGGACTCACTAGGTTTATTTTGCAAATTGTGGCTATTTGGATTGAGGTGAGATGGTGAAAGTCTCATTGTTATGCTCTGCCCAAAGGGAGCTCTTAATCCTCTTCTGATCTGGAGAGAACCTCGTGAGTGTTTGCAGTCTGGCCCAGGTGTGGGGAAATACAGTCTGCTAGTCTGGATTCCCCCTTTTTTCTGTGGGGGGCAGATTTGGGGATGAGGGGACCCCTAGTCCTGGCTCTCGTCCTCCACCAGCCCTAGGGTAACTTGCCCCACTTTGCACCCCCATTTTGGGGCCTGAACCCCCGCCCTCTCCATCCCTTTCCATTTCTTGCCTCCTGCCTGTGTCTCTTCCCTCTCTCTCTCCCACTTTTCCTCTCTCTCCCGCTCTGTCTCACACGCACCCTCTGTTTATTTTCCTGCCTCCATCTGGGCCCTGCTGATATTGTAATCACCCTGATGCACGTTGGCTCCTCTCCTCTCCCTCCTGCGCTCACACACTCACTCACACACAATGTGCCATCCTGACAAGCTTTTACTTCTGATAAGCTCCGATGTGTGTTTAATGAATACAAAGCTGTGGTCTGGGTGCCGCCTCGGCTGCGGCCGCCTCTCCTGCGCTCCTTTGCCAGAAGGTAATCTCCGTGAACAGGGGAGGGGAGGCAGGCGAGCAGGCTGGGAGGAAGGAGGAGTGGAAGGAGGAGGGGGGAGCCTGGGGAGGCTGCTTTTCTCTTTCCCTCTCTCCCTTTCCAAATGATTCAGAAGTCGATAAGACCAGGAGAAGTGAAGATGTAACCTGTTATCTGTCGCTCCTTTTAGCTGGCGGAGAGAATTTACATTTAAAGATTAGCAGAGGGAGAAAGAGAAAATCTGCCTTTTGTTGTGCGGGGTGAGGAAGAGGCATCAGTCCTGGCCTTGACGCTATCTCCCATCACCTCTGCTATCCAGACAGGACTCCTAGAGGTGAGATTACCGGAGGGCCTTATCTTTAATTGGGTTTAGTTTTGCCAGTCTGAATAGGTTTAAAAAGACTTGATAAAGGGGAACAATAGATTATTTACTGACTGGACGCTCAAGCCCTTAGATGAAGAAGGGAAAGAAAAGGCTGCTTAACAACTTGATGAGTTCATTTTTATTTTAAGGTGAGACTGTCTGCCTTCTGGTGGGAGAAAGGGCCATAGAACTTAGGTGCAATTTGAAGGACTTAATGTCTTATTTCCTTCTTCGCCCCTACCCCCTGTCCTTCTCAGCTCTGCACACCTACCTTTTTTTAACAAGAGTTTCTTTTACCCTGTTACGTTTAGGATTGAGAAACTGAGCCAAGAAGGTAGAGGCTTTTGAAATCAGTAATCAATGTTTGGTTTTGCATCGAGTAACTTATTTTGAATGGGTGATGAATTGATGCTAGTGGTGTTTGAATTGGTGCAAAAAGCAAACGAAACCTACTTTTAACATGGAATTGGTTGATTTTATAGGATGATTTCAACTCTGTCTAGAAAAAAAGTAATCAGTCCAGGTCTGTTAGATCTGTATATTGGATCTGAACCATGAAATTTTTGTGCTTGGAGTTTTTTTTTTTTAAATGTTTTATTGACTCCTGAGTGCATTTAAAAGAATTGTAGTATCAACTTTAGAGGTTCTTAAAAGGAATAAAGTGGGAAAAAATGATTGTTTTGCCTTCTACACATTGTCAAGCTAAGTGTTTTCATAGATAGATAGCTATGATTCAGTAACTAAAAGCCTAATTAAAATTTGTTTAAAGCCAGGGGGGCATGTTTCCTTGTTGACAGCGGCGGATCGATTGGGTAAGACAATAGAGTCCCATTATTTTACTTCCATTGACTGAACATATTGACATTTCAGGTTTGCTGTTGCCTCAGTGAGCATGATGAAACACTGAAATTCACAGACCAACTGGCCAGAGTGGCACATATATTACGTATGTCATTTCTGCCTTCAGGTTACCTTATCACCTGGGCAGAATGGGAACAGACAGCCTGGAATCCTTCAGAAGGGGTAGGGCTCTTGTGGCTAAGCAACTGACAGATAGCATGTCTTAGGAACACCTTTAATTTTACCCAGGATTGGGTGTTACAGCGAAATATGTGGGGAACGCTTTTATTTAAAAATTTGAGAAGCAGTCTAGCTGGCAGTCTTGCATATTTTACATACAAGAATACCCATTTTCAGGATTTACCTTTACCTTCCCAGAAGATGTTTACAGTGAGGGGTGGGTCACATCATTGAGATGTTTACTAGCTTGTGCTTGGGTGACATCTGTTCTTCTCAAGACTGAGGCACTCAAACATCCAAGCACCTGCTAAATCAATATCTGATAAAAGAATATGTAAAGTTGCTTCAAAAGTAGGGCCTGAATTTATAGACCAAAAAATGGGATGCATACATGTTACGTCCATGTGCATACATAGAAACATTTATAGAAAATATAGATGTATTTCAAGCAGAGGCAGAGAAAATACTATTTGTTATCTTCACTGTGTATGGTACTCTTTCACATTTTATGTAGTCTTTGCATAATAAAACAAAGTATTAGGCAGACATTGAATCAAAGCAATTTGAACCATACAAAAACTGAATATGGAAAAATCCAGAAAGGACTTAACATATTTTTAAAAAGTTTTATGAAAATATGAAAATATTATGAATATGCCTTATACGCAGCAGTTGTTGCCATCAAGTAGGCAACTGATGCCCTTTACAGTGTTTAGAACAAAACTAGTCCTTTATACCATTTTCATGAAAATGTTAGGTTTCTATTTGATCAGCAGGTGCTGTTGAGATGAAAGCCATGTGTAAACTTTCAGAAGGCCAAAAGTGTCAATTCAGAAAAGAAAAGTGATAAGAGAAAATGCAATCAGTTTTCCTGTTTTCAATTTGTGCAGGATTTGAAGAGCTGTTTTGTTAAAATGCTACATCTGCTCCAGTATGAATATTGAACTACTTCCACTAAAAATAACACCCTATAATTTGGAAGCTACTGCAATCTTTTGTTAATGTGAGTGGGTTATTTAAAAACAAAAAAACAAAAAAAGAAAAAAAAAGAAAACAATTTTCTATTCTGACAATCTCTTGCCTAATGTGCATTTTCATTTGTTGGCACTTTTATCCTCAGCAGATAAACGGTATTATGCAATTAGGACCTGATCTTGTTTGACTGTAAAAGAGGTTTCCATAGGTGAAAATCCTGGTAATATAAAAAGGGTTTGCACAAAACAAAATTCATTTTAAGATAGCCTGCTTAAGTATATTTAAAGTGAGATAGTTACTCCTTACATTTTCTAATACTACAATATTTAACTTACTACCGACTGTTGTTACGAAGTTAGCACTATTCCATTGCATACTGAACATTCTGTGATTTATTTCACCTTTAAAATACCTGCAAATGTAAGTTTAAACTAATTAGGGATATTTTACCTAACAGAGCTTTCAGAATACTTTTTTTCATGCTTAAATAAAATGATTAAATTATGCTTGAGTGCCTGCATACAAAAGCTTCAGCTTCTATAGTACTGCTAACCAAATAAGTTGTATGGACAGGGAGGGAAAGCACCACGTTAGAGAAAAAATAGATGCATTTTACTAGTGATATTTCTAGGAAGAACGTGTTCCTTCAAAATTACCCAATATTAACTCTAACGCTTGTTCAATAATCATAATAAATATATACTTCATCGTTATAATAAGAAAGTGAATGGTAATGCTCTCCATTTAAAATATGGGCATAGAGAATTAAGGTAGAAGGAAGACTGTCGAAATTTGGATAAGGTTCAATATTGACTCATTCCACAGTTGCAGTTGGATTGACTTGTGGCTATAGTAATTTGTCCAGGGTGAGACGTGATCACCGCTTAGGATCAATTAGAGGTTATATAGCCTGTGGCTTCACACTTGAGTTGCCAGACACACTTCACAGATAAACCCAGTACATCTCAGGAATGAATAAAAGGGGAAGACAGATATTGTGACACATTAGCTTGTTCAGTATTAACAAATGCAGTGTTTCTTCTGAAACGCCAAATCAAAAGAAGAACTAGTTTGAAGAACAATATTAAGCGTGTGTACTTGTAACTACATGTATGTAACCAACCAAAGAATAATGCTTTTAAGGAATGTAATTTCTAATTCGAAGCCCAGTTGTGACATGTCCCGCTGGTGTATTGTTCAGAGACCTAGGCAATCATGTGGGTATATTCCCGTGTACAGCACCAGCTACCTTGCCACTCTCAGGAAATGATGGTGAATCACATTTCAGTGTTAAGAAAGTTCATTTACAGACATAATTCCATCATCTTGGTATGTGATCTTCTAATGAATTGTTGTTGTGCTAAAGCCGGATTCAGTATTGAAACCATAGTACCTTACATGGCATCTACAGAGGAGAGCTTCCTGGGACTCTTTCAGAGTGTTCATACTTTATGAAGTGATATCCATGCTCTTACTTCAGAGCCACTGATAAATTAATGTCCCATGTTGATGTTTAAGGCATAGAACCCTCTTGTTTGAAAAAAGTTTAAAACCATCAATGCTACCTAAAACCATTAACATTTCCAGTGAATGAGAGATCGGCTTAAAATGCACCTGTTTTGATAGTTCTAATTGTGATTACCTGTAAAATGTAACTTACGAAGAAATAGGGCATTTGATTTTGTAGGTTTCATATTGGTCAAGGTCTCTAAGGCAAAACAGTGTTTAAGTGACTAGGATCTTTAGAATATAGTCCTACAGAAGACCAATGCAGAGGGCAAATGTTGTTTTGCGATTGTGTCTCCAAATAATTTTACTATCTCAAAGTGCCTTGGGGAATGTGGATGACTGTATTTATTCATCCATTAATACTGAGCCTAGACCACATTAGAGTGTGCTCTGGGCTTTTATCTGCTGCCACATAGTTGTTGGTTTTGGGAGATAGAAGAGGAACTGACATATATTAGATACCTACTATGAGCCTGGAGCCCTGGTGGTGCAGTGGTTAAGCATTCAGCTGCTAACCAAAAGGATGGCAGTTCAAATCCACCAGCTGCTCCTTGGAAACCCTTTGGGGCTGTTCTACTTTGTCCTATTGGGTCGCTATGAGTTGGAATTGACCCTATGGCAGTGGGTTTTTTGGACTGTGAGCCTGGCATTAACCTTTTACAGACATTTTAATCATTTATTGTAAGTAGTGATTAACCAGCTTTTCACTTTCTTCGCTTCGAAGAGCTCCATCCCTTTATGTGAAGACTTTGGCCATAGTTGCTCTTCTAGCTTGACCTTTTGCCCCAGTTTAGAAAACTGAATTATCCTTGTATTACCAAAATTAATGACCTATTTTGTTCCTGAATTCTACTAATTTGGGCCTTATTTTGAATACCTGGCTGGATTTCTGCTCAGCAGTCAGGATCTATGTATCCACTCTTTCCTTTTACTCACCCCCTTGGTTCCCACCTCGGAATCAGAGTCAGCTATTAGCTGACCAATATCTTGGAGACTCCCAAACGTGTCCCAGTTTATATCTCTAGATATTTCCTAATCTAGGATTCTCCATTACTAAATTCTGTTCCCTCATCAGAATACCTCCTCCTGCACTGCACAACAGCACACAACAACAACACTGCACTGCAGCCATGAGGAT